ACAGATAAGGACTTCCCAGAAAAGGCGCTCTAGCCTGCAAGCCAGCAAAGGTGGGATTTGGTCTGGGAGACTGCACTGTGTGTGTGTGTGTGGCTTTTAAAAAATTTTTATTGAACAATATAACAATACAATAGGGGACCCGCAACAAAATGTTGCCATCCCATCCTGCTGGCATTTCAGTGCAGTGGAAGAAATAGCCAAGCCCACACATCTCCAGGCAGAATACTGCACAGACTCACACTCCTGCAGTCTCTGAAGAAGAAAAGGTTTTCCTCCCCGTCCACTCTGGTCCCCCCCCCCTAAACAGTAGCATAAAACTAATTGGCTGGGAGGAGGCAGAGAAAGAGGGAAGACCCGAGGCACTGGGAACTTCTCTCACCTGCTCCAAAGGGTGGAATCAAAAGCATGTTTATTTTCTGCTGGCTCCCCCCCCTTTTTTTTTGAGAACGTGTGTGAACAGGCAGCTAGCTTCCCATGGAAAGCTATTTTCCAAACTGTTTACCAAAATGTAAGAACAGAAAGAACCTACAGAAACTCATTACCTAGAAGTGTGCATGTCCGTTGGCAGAGACTGAAGTTAATTACTTTAGCTATAAATACTAAGTGATTTGCAGGATAAATACATTAAACTATAGTGTTGTGAGTTCTACAGTCTTACAGAGCTCTTGGCAAGAACTGAAGAGTATAAGACAGGATGCAATCTGCAAGTGTTCCTCGCAGTTCGGAGGTAATCTATTTACATCAGCAGTGTAGGAATTTGTCCACCACACTATGCTCTATAGTTTCTGAAATTCAGAGACACGCCTCCACATGCAGCTGCTGGTGTGACCTTGGGTCAGTCACAAGTCCTCTCAGAGCTGTTCTCCCAGGAGCAGTTCTCGAAAGAGCTCTCTCAGCCCCACCTATCTTTTCTCAGTTCAGAGTTTAAAATGCAGTGCTTTAGGGCTTTGTGAGTTTATTGAAAACATGCTTTCCTTACTACCTTTTCCTCATGTCATATTTCTAGCTGTTGAAATTGAGTGGGATATCTGCAATCATATAACCTGTGTGCTGGATTAGGTCTGTGGAGATGTGGGCTAAAATTCCTGATTACTGATCACTGGGTGTCTTTGGGCCAGTTACTCTCTAAGCCTAACCTACCTTTCAGAGATTGTTTTTAATTTAGCAATTTCAAATTTTGTGATTTTCATTCTTCCTTAAATGCATTTACGTTTGCAAATTGGTGGGCACATTGGGGGGGGGGCAGAAGGTAGCCTCGACTAGTGTGCAAAAAACCTGGCACCAGACCTGTCTCAGCCATATGCTATTTTCTCACATAGCGGCTGGAGGGTTGTGTGTGTGTTGTCTTCCCACCTAAAGCTGTTTCCCTGGAAGAAATTAGCACCCATCAAATCTCTCTTTCTCCCACAGGGTCTTAAAGCTGTGCCAATTCCTCTCAGGGTGGGAGCTGGAGAATGGAATGGTTAAGGAACTAGGGTTACCAGCTCTTGCTTAAGGGAATTCTTGGAGATTTGGGTGCAGTACCAGGGAATGGCAGAGAGTTCAGTGAAGATATGTTGCCATAGAGTCTGCCCCTCTAAAGCCACCATTTCCTCCAAGGGAACGGATATGTGCAGGCCAGAGATCAGTTGTTCTTTTGAGAGATCTCCAGGCTGTGTTCCCTCTAAGCTGAGTTAGTGTGAGCTAGCTCACAGTTTTTTAGCCCCCAGCTCACACATTTTTGTCTTCGCTCAGGAAGGATGGCACCAGAGCAAACTAATTTATGCAGTAGCCAAATTGCTCGCCCACAGCTTTACTGCCAGTAGCTCACAAAGGGGAAGTTTTGCTCACAAGACTTTACAGCTTAGAGGGAGCATTGAGTCCAGGCACCAACTTGAGGTTGGTTACTCTACAACTAAATAGCCAAAAGGGTTAAGTAAACAAATCTCAAAACATATACAAATAAAAACAAACAAACTAAAATGAGTTTTAACCACCCATCCCCCCTTTTGCTCTCAACTCTCTAACCAACACATGTTCCACACACTAGTCCTGCAGTTTGGAGACCTGATCATGTATCTTCTCACTTTGTTACCTAAGCTCTAATCCAACCTTAAAGAGTAGATGTTTTGAGGGTAAAATGAAGGGAAGAACAATGCTGTAAAGTGCTGTGTTTCCACAGGGGAGAAATACAGGACAGAAATATCTAAATACACAAAATAACCATAACTTATACAAGGACAGTCTGCCAGACTTAAAGCTAGCATTCTGGGAGGCAACGTTAATTTTGCGTGGTTTCTGCCCCCCCTCCCGTGCAACATTCAGGACATGCTTCCCTCCCTTCCCCTTACCTTGTACTTAACACTGTTACCTGCAGATGGCAGCCTTCTTCCTTTTCATATTTTTGTGCTAGTGCATGAGATGGGTATACAAAGATAGCTGTTGCAAAACATGGGAGATGTTAGAACTAATAAGCTTGGGAGTACAATTTGCAACAGTGGTGTTGATAGCAAAGCAATATATCCTGTTCAACAGCTTTAGGTTAGCTGTAGCAAGCCCAGGCCTGCAGAGAAGCAAGGGCAAAAGTTATAATTCTCACCAACACGAATGGCTAGAGATAAGCCAGTGCCAAAAAGAGGAATGAAATGAACCACACATGAAGCTGCCTCATACTGAATCAGACCATCAGTCCATCAAGGGCAGTATTGTCTGCCCAGACTGGCAGCAGCTCTCCAAGATCTCAGGCGGAGGTCTTCCAAATCACCTACTGCCAGGTCCGGTTAGCTAGAGATGCCAAGGATAGAAGTTGGGACTTTCTGCATTCAGACCAGAAGATTTAACACAGTCCCTCCCCTAAGAATGTATCTTTCTTAATAAGCACGGACTATTTTGCCACTCTAAAAAGTGATGAGCTAGGCAGATTTACCCTGCCCATTCAGCCCCAAACAGGCCACAGTGCATCAAGTTTATGGATCAGGCCATAATCCTCTGCATTACGGAGCTTTCTTTAGGGCCGCTTTCTTTAGGCATGTTCACACTTTCCTCTTCCGCACCACTGACACAATGCCTGTGGTTACTCCAACAGGTTTTGGGGTTGGGCTACTTTTGCACCAGGACAGGGGTGTAAAGAAAAAGTTAGTCAACTTTGTGTAGCTACTGGCTGATCCCCAGAGAGCCACACCTTACTCTTGGAGGAAGAGACACAAAGTTAGGAGTGGCCAAAGGCCTTGGGCTTGTCTGTGATAAGAGCAGTGTTATTTCACCATAAGCAGTGCTTGGAGGAGGGTGAAATGCCATCCCATTTCTTGTTCTACAAAACACAGTGCATACACTGCAAAGCTAAACCAAAACCTTGTGTATTTTGAAACAAAAGCATTTCACTAACCAAATTAGCTAGGTGGGCTGTAGATAAGGAAGCTCCTATTTTGCTGAGGATGACTAGAGTTTAAACATAGACCATCGTTCTACTAGTCTGACAAGTGGAACTGCATTATGGGAAGAGGGAACATGTGTCAGAGGCTGCTCATTTCAGAGCCCTCTTACCAGACCCTTCACAGATCCTGACTTGGCACATTAAATATTGCTCCTACTCTGGCCCAGCCAACTTCTACCTCAAGGGGAATGACTGTCGATTTAAAGGCCTGAAAGCCTGTGGAGAGATGTCAGGCAAATACTGGAAAGTATCATGAGCTTTGCAGGAGAGTCCATTTAATAAGAATGGTTACTTGAATTATAAACTTTGGCAGTCAGGGTTGGCTTGGTTAATCTTCATGCAGACAAAGGGTGAGGACAGAATATGACGGCTCATAAAACGCGTGTGCATTCCCACACACACACACACACATACACCTTTTTGAGAACTTTTCCAATTTTTCCAAAGCACTAAAAAAAGCTCTCCCACAAAATATTTTCTTTTTGAGTATGAGAACATTGTCTTTTAAAGCATTTCACTTGTTCCAAATGTATAGCATGGAAAGAATGAGGTCTTCCTCAATCTTTTTAGATGGGAAAATGGAAATTTGGAGAAACACTGAAAAAAAATCTTAATGAAATATTTTCTCTTTTAGAATAAGTGAAAATACTTTTCAAGACAAGGTTTCTCTCACCCAAATGTGCACTATGAAAGTCTGCAGAAGGTCCCAAGTTCTGTCCGCAACATCTCCAGTTAGAAGAATCTGGTAGCTGACAATGTAAAAAGACATCTATGACCCTGGAGAGTAGACAATACTGACCTGTAAGATCAATGGTCTAACTGACCATAAGGCAGCTTCATGTGTAATTCTACACCAGGGATCCCCCCACCATTGTTGAGCCTGTGGGCACTTCTCGAAATCTGAGAACAGGAAATAGATGCCTCCACAAAATGTCTGCTATGGTGTACTGGAGCCAGTCACCGCATGTTGAAAAGCTGCAAGCCAAATATCCTCCTGGGATCTTTGATCCAAAAGTCAGGATGGCTCCTTGTTTTGTGAAAGAAACAAATGGGAACCGTCCAGAATGCCCATTGACACAGGGCCTGATGCCCATGGGCACCATGTTGGGGAATCACGGTTCTATACCAACCCCGTTGAAGAAGGCCATTTCAGCACTCTTCCATTTCAAGAGAAGAAGAAGAAGAAGAGATTGGATTTATACCCCGCCCTTCACTTAGAGTCTCAGAGCGGCTTACAAACTCCTTTCCCTTCCCCTCCCCACAACAGACACCCTGTGAGGTGGGTGGGGCGGAGAGAACTCTGACACAAACTGCTCTTTTTCAAGGACAGCTGTGCCAGGGCTTGTGACTGACCCAAGGTCACATCAGCAGGTGCAAGTGGAGGAGTGGGGAATCAAACCCGGTTCTCCTAGATTAGAGTCCGCACACTTAACCACTACACCAAACTGGCTCTCAAGAGGTGCAAAACATTCAATATCTCACATTGCCTGAAGTCCAGCCTTCTATTTTGCCCATCATTTTTGCATGAAGATAGATTTCAAACCAAGCAACCAATAAATGGATTTAAAATAGTTTAATACTTGTGGAAGACGTGAATGCAGCAGAAGTTGAAAAGTCAAAGAACAGAGCATCCACATAGCAGGTTGGTACAGAAGCCATGTAGAGCAGCTCAAAACGATTCTACAGCAGTGAAAAGAGTTATTTTCCTATGAAAACCTGCTGTGCTTTTGATAATTTATTCTTAATCTCAGCAGAAGAACCAAGTACTAAAAGTTAAAATGAGGGACCCTGGCCTATAGATTCCCAGTAATCTTAAATGGGGCAATGCCACTGTGGGCAAATGTTATATGCTAGTGATTTCTCTTCACCAGAATTTAATATGCATTTTCTACAAGCCATAGCTCTGTATTTGCTGTGGAAGAGCAGAACTGGAGGTGTTGTGCATCTGTCTTATGCACAACAACAACCCCTCATTAGATTCAGCTATGAGTTATTTAAATATATAGTAGTCATATATGCAATGTACAACTTTAGAGCATTATTTTCATACATATATATATATAATTTCTCTTTACAAAATGTTACAAGGTTTTCCTGCAAAGTATTCTATCTTTTATTCTTAACCATTTCTGCACTGTCAAGTAAGCCTGTCTTGAATCAGAATACTTTTTTAAACAAATATATACAAAACAAGCAAACTGTTTTTTATAAAAAGCTAAAGGGTACTAAAAGCCCTTTTTGTTTTATAAAAAAGTCAATATGTGCACAAATAAAGAAAAAAACCCCGGTTTGCCTACATATGCTGTTTTAACCATTTTGTAGTGTCCTGATCTCTAATCCTTATTCTGTTTGTGATGGGAGAATATAACAACATTCTCAGTACCCAGGGGGTGTGGGGACCCAGCCCTTTCTTGTGCATTTGGCAGCTGTGCTCCTATGTGGTAACAGTTTAAACATCTTTAATGGCAAGCTTGCATAAGCAGAGTGCGTCAAGTGTGCATGCATTTGCTATTTTTTGTCAAAGACACAGGCAGAAATCCACAACCGTCTCAAATTTTCTTGCACTAGACAGTTGCAGTCAGGAGTGTAGTCAGAAGGAACTCCATTTTGGCTGGTTGACACTGTTCAGGAGGAATCTACAAGAAACATGAATGGAATCTTACTATCCAGTAAACCGACATTAATATCTGCCCTATGCATATTGATAAATGAGTAATGACTCATTTCCACTCTTCCAATTCATATGTGAAGGTGAATCAACTGTGGTAATGCATAGACCAGGCATGAGCCAGCCCTTCCAGAGACAGGAAACTGGCATGCAAAGGCGCTCAGTAAATGATGGTGGTGGCAAAAATTGGGAGAAGTAGGATTACTTATTCCCTCTCCTCTCTGGCTGCCCCATGACCAGTGTTCCCTCTAAGCTGAGTTAGTGTGAGCTAGCTCACAGTTTTTTAGCCTCTGGCTCACACATTTCTGTCTTAGCTCAGGAAGGATGGCTCCAGAGCAAATTTATTTATGCAGTAGCCAAATCGCTCGCTCACAACTTTAATGCCAGTAGCTCAGAAAGTAGAATTTTTGCTCACAAGACTCCACAGCTTAGAGGGAGCATTGCCCGTGACAGGACCTTATGATGTGCTCCTTCCTTGGGTACAACTCAGCAAGCAAACGTCCTGGCACAAGGCACATGCACGCAATACAGGGTTGCTGAAAACACCCGGGAGAGGATCTCACTGAGGCCTGCCTAGAAACAGCTTTTAAAAAATGAGGTGGCAGGGTGGAAACATTTCAGGCTGCAGGTGAGAAGAGACAGATCAGTGATGTCTCATTAAAAAAGCCCCTCTGCAAATGCAAGATTAGCACATCAAGGGGAAAAGAGTCCAGCTTATCTCTTCATGAGCTATGCCAGCTTGTTTTCCACATTCAAGGAACTGTCAATGAAGGGGAGCTTGGGCAAATATAATCCCTCACCTGTAGTCAGAAGCACCACAGTCCATTTTTTACCACCACACTCTGCTGCTATGTGCAAAGCAGGCCAGTGTGGCAAGGAAAAAAAGAGAGAGATGGATGGAACCGGGCTGGGTGAGACCCTCACACCAGCTTTGCCTCCTCATCCCTTGATTTATGGGAGGGCATCCTGGCACGCCTCTTCGTGTGAACTGGGCTAACAGAGCGATCCTAAGCTCAGCAGGTAATTCTTCCACCTACTATTAGTCATGGAAGCTATTCCGAAAGTATACTACAGCTGAATACCAAATTCAGGGACAAACTGAGGAAGACTGTTTCCTTATGAACAACCCACATGCCATTGCTGGAAACAGTGCCTTCATTCACAGAGGTATTGGGAAGATAATCACACAGGAGGCAGGATCAAACTACTGCTTCTCCGCAGAATGAGGCAAGCTGGAGGGAGAGAGAAAGGGCGTGTGCATGCACACATAGCAACTATACACTGCGCCATGCCTCACCACTTATAAACAGCCGCTTGGGGCTACCCTCAGCTGCCAGTCCTGGCTTTAAAGGACTGGAATAGAAGACTGAAGGACTAGCAATGGGGAGTGTCAGGCTGCAGAGGTGCTGGGGTCAGGCTATGTGGCCTTGGTTGCTCTAGGAGCTCTGGGAGCCAGGCAAGGTCATGGAGTCTGCTTTCGTATTAGGTCTGGGTTGGGTCTGATGGAATAGAAGTATTGGGGTGGGGGAGAGGCACTACGGCAGCTCTTGGTAGCCCCTTCCTGGGCAACTGGAGAAAGGGGAAGGTAAGCACCCTTTCCCCGAACAGCCATTTACAAGGCAGTGTGTGATTCCTGTGTTTCAGAGAAGACCATGTCGATCCTTACCTTTGTGAAGAAAGTCTAACTGCTCGGACCTTTAAAGACAAATCCGTTCTTTGGGCACTGACCTGGACGACTCATCTGTGTGTACAGATCCATTCTTTGCTGCATACTGCAAGGACAATTAAATGCAAGGTCACAAGGGCAGCTGCAGTTAGCAGCCATCATGGCTTTTTAAATCATGTCTAGCTTAGCCCATAAAAGGTCAGGAAGTGCTTTTAAAGGGTATGTCTTGTGTGCAGCAGTCCCAGTGGACAAACGGATGTCAGTGGTGAAATAAATAATCCACCTCTAAATAAGTTTCTGCAGAACATTTATGTTAAAGAACAAGCTAGAGACAAGATACACTTTTCACTAAATTTCTGCAGAACATTTATGTTAAAGTACTACCTAGAGACAAGATAACACTTTTCACCAATGATAAAAAGTGCAACATGGCTTCATAGTGCTTGGTGGTTTAGGTTAGGGTTGCTTTGCATATTCTGTGGGCAGGTGTAGAAATCCCAGGGCTCACCAGTTCTATTCATGCAAGAACAACAGTCATTATTTATTTATTTAGTGTGTGTATGTGTGCGTGCGTGCTGACTTTTGGCAACCCCTAGTGGGGCTTGGAGGCAAGGGACATTCAGAGAGGTGGCTTTCTATTGCCTGCCTTTGTGTCACAGCCCTGATATTCCCTGGAGGTCTCCCATATGGAGCAGAGGTCCATCAGTGGCTATTAGCCACAAGGTATAGATAGGGACTCTGGGGCAAGTGATGCTCTGTCATCTTGGTGCTTGGGGGGGGTCAACAGTGGGAGGGCTTCTAATGTCCTGGCCCCACTGGTAGACCTCCTGATGGCACCTTGTATTTCTGGCCACTGTGTGATACAGAGTGTTGGACTGGATGGGCCTTTGGCCTGATCCAACATTGGCATCTCTTATGTTCTTATGTTCATCCAAGTACTTGCCAGGGTCGGCCCTGCTTAGCTTCCGAGATCTGGCTTGCCTGGACTATCCAGGTCAGGGCAACAGTCATGATTTATTAAGGCAACAGTATTCTCAGATGTAGTTTAGTGAAACGAGTGAAGTTTGCAGTACACCAACTTGCACCTTGAAGTATGACAAGTATGACTAGACCCAAACTTTGTTCAAGAAGCATCCTGTTAGTTTTGCCATCTCTTCTCCCCACCCACAAAAAAAACCCCCAGACCACCGGTTTTTATTCTTGTAAGACTAGTAAATCCAAGCTTCCACTTTCCCCCATCCTGTTCTGGATTTCCTGGGACTTATCCATCCACGCTGGGGGAGGATGACTTCATCAAGATTCTGAGTGATGTCATTCAGCCACAGCCAAACTATTGGTTGGCAAGTGGGAATGTATCAGACATGTATTATACAGGTTCCCACAAAAGGCAAGTTAAACTAGTTGTAGTATCCAGTTCGGAGAAAATCAGGAAGCCTGCGATTCAGCAAGTTTCTATTTCTGTAAAGTAGACCCTGGCCATTCCTGGAATCACTGTGGGTGGTGAAATCTGTGAAAACTGGAAGACGGGTTTCTGCTGTCTCCCAACAATGAAAAAAAGTTTCCCTACAAAATTTAATGATGTATTGACTGATGGTGTGGTGGGAGTAAAACTGGGCTAGAGACTGTACTATGTGATCATAAGAACACCCATATCAGCCTGCTAGATCAGACCAGTGGTTCATCTAGACCAGCATCCTGTTTCACACAGAGCTAACCTGTTGGCCTGTAGGGCTAAACTAAAGGGCACAGAGGCCAAGACCTTCTTCCTGATGCTGCCTCAAAGTACTAATATTCATAGGTTCACTGCTATATATAGAGGATCAAATTGCAGATTTTGGATAAGTGAAATCACAAGTCATGAATCCATGAATGGTTAGGATTCACTGTATTCAGAATATTTCTCTTATGGGGTTCAACAATCATACACATTCCATATTTGATGACTTCCTATAGCATACAGTCTGGGTGAAACCAGAGCTTCTTCACTGCATTACAGCAAACAAAATTGATGAAATAACTTTGCCCTTGAAAGAAAAAGAAAAAAATTGAGCAACACTTCTAGTGGTAACTCTACATAGAACACAAGGGACTGGTGTCTATAATTTAAACACCCAGCTAGCAACACATGATGCATCCATCTCTCACATAAGCTAGCCAAGGTAAAGTAAAATCACCCCCAGAGTAAAATCAAGTCCACCAACACAACAACCACAACTTCTGCAAATACATCATGACCAGACTGAAGTGACCAAGTTGCTTCTTGTAACATGAGCAGTCACAACATGCCTTCCCTTCCTTCTTCCTGCCCCCCCTTTACCTAGGGTAGTATGCGGTGTAGTTCATGAACAGCTGAGTGCCTGCTGGATAGTATGCTGTGGAGGGCTGGAGCGTCCGTGGATTGAGAAGCACAGAGGGTTGGTACAAGGCTGCTTCCGTTGGGATTACTGCTGCGGGAGCTGGAAACGTGTATGAAGGTGGAGAAATACCTAGTAAGTGGACAGAACAAGAACACAGAGATAAAGGATCTCAACACACTTGCATGGAAATTCTGTCAGCACAAACGCAATTAAGACTCCCATGTCTAAAACGTCATTGCCTATAACATGAGCCATTATTTTCCATCCTAACTCCAGACACTCCTTGCCCTCTCATTTGTAGGGAGAAGCTTCAGTTCTGTCTCTCACATACAGTGTTAATGCGGGCCAAACCCTATTGATTAAAGCTGCTACAGGACCCTTCTTCAGGATGGGGTTTTTAGGTAATGAATGTCGTTCCTTTGAACATTTAACCTGGGGCATATCTTCAATTGTTATGCTTGCACACACCCAATGTTTATCAAGTTATCAGATTTTTCTCCTTGCTAGTCTGCTGACAAAGCAATTCTGCTACTCATACACAGTAATTTTCAGACTCCCCGTCTCACTCTCACAGACATTCCCACAAGTTATCTGAAGGGTGCCTCAATCCCAGCACACCAGGGTCTCCTGTCCTCATTTAATAGCTCTACTTTATATTTTAACATAGTTTTTTTCCCCTGTAAGATGAGTTTACTGTTCCATAAAAACATATTTGTCAGTGATCGCATTATGCACATGTTGGCTGTGGTTGTAGTGCTTAAAAATGCAAGCAGAGTGTCATTAGGAAAATGCAATGTGCTCTACATCTCATGTAGCACATTTATGACTATTCAAGTGTCCAAGCTGCTGACTGGATATTTTTTTGCAATTTCTAGAGGCAAGCATCAGTACTAGGGCTATGCAGCCGGATATTTCCAATCTGTATATCTTATACCTTATCAGTATTATTCAGGTATATTTGGGATTCTCAGGAATATGGGATATTGATTCCTGGGGGGAAAAATGGAAATATTTGTGGCTCACATTTTAAGTCTCTCAGGCCTGTTTTCCTTCAATTTTACAAGTTGTCTGGACAATGGGTGAGAGTGGGGACGGAGGGAGGTAATTCTCCCAAGCAACAAGATCAGATGTCAGGGGAAGCACTTCTGTGCAGAAAATATAGTGCCAAAATGTTGTTCTTACCACTCTGAAAGAACCCCCCCCCCCAACAAATATAATTGGAACAAGACATTAGGAAAGTAGATGAGCATCTCAATTTAAAACAAACATAAGCAGAGCCCGCCATGGCAGGGAGGGCGGGATACAAATTGAATAAATAAAATAAATAAAAAGCACCTGAATTGAAGTTCATGTATGCTGTAATGCTGTTGGTATTTATTCTTTACAGGGGTGGGAGAGAACAGGAATGCCACTGATGAAGGGTTGTTAGTTCAGTTGGCCTTACCATATTGTCCCTCGATTCTTCTGGGATTCTCTAATTTGACATTGGTCATGGTAGGCGACACTGGCCCTGGATCTGCTGGGGTTCTCTAGTTTGATGCTGGTTCTGTTGGGCTTGTTGGATCTGTCTGCATGTGGAGGCTTTTGGCCAGCCATTGCTTTTGTGTGTTTGCTTATTGGCGTCTTCGAATTTCCCCCCATAGGAAACAATGGAGTAGTAGGATGGCTGGAGGCACCTGGAAAGCCAATAGAATTCAACCCTTGGCCCAGTTTGCCTGGAACAGGGGGGCAGTCTTTAGTGGAGAGGCCATACTAGGTCTCCTGCAATTATGTCAGTCTCCCCCTCCAAAGTCCCCACACAGAGAGTAACGGAACCTGAATAATTCCAGAAACCCCCACCAAAATCTGAACACAAATCTTGAAATAGTATCAAGTGACCAAATACCCCTGAATACAGGTAATTAGGCCATTCTGAAATCAGGAAAAAACCTTTTTTTAGGTGCACATCCCTAATTGGTACTTTAACCGCACATACCCATATCACTTCCTATCTCTCCCTTATATATAAAGGCATAGTACTCCATCCGCACATACCCATATCACTTCCTATATATGTAATATTTCCAGTTTTTCTTTGGAGGTCATGCACTCCCTGTTGACTAGCTATAGAGCAGGAGCATCTGAACAGTACTTTGAAAAGATTATGGAAGAACCAGAAAGACAACTCCCTCGGGAATCAATATATCTAAGTCTCAACATGGCCAGACCTGTGGATACTTAAATCCAGTGACTTGGCAGCTACTTCGCGATGCCATTATCTCTGATATTGGCCTTGCTGGGCTCCTTTAAAGGCATCTCCTCTGTTTATTAAAGCACAAGGACATCATTTTACTGTGAGGCCTCCAAATATGGAAATATTACCCAGTTCTCTCTTGCTTTGCATAAACAAGGATAATAAATAATAACGCTTGAGATGTATTTCTAATTTTCTGCTCCGGGTGATGGTTGAGAGAAGCTAAATGAGTCAGGCTGCAAGTCAGAGAAATATACTAAGGTTCTTCTGTCTGTAAACCTATAATCCTGAATGTATTAATGAGACTTCATGTGTTAACCAGACTTTGACAGTTCCAGTTCCAGTGCCAAAAGAGCACCTGTATGCATATGAGCATTTAGGTGAAAATTAGTTATGTCTTTGGATGGATCTTCAAGGCTGCGATTAGATAATGGACTATAGAAAGGGCGATATCCTTATCTTTACCAGACAACTAGATGGTAATCATGAACATACAGGGAAGTGTGATATTAACAGAGAAATAAAAATAGATCTTACTGAAGCATATAAGTCACAACTAAATAAAAAATGAGTGAGTTATTCCATCTCCACATTCCTGCATCGGCAGACCCTCTGTTCGATTGGGCTACCTGAGAATCTACCGAATAATTTGTTAAGAGGTAGAGCAGTGTGTCGAGCCAAGACAAAAAGTCTTTGATAAATTGGAATTGTTAAAAATTTAAGATAATCTGTAAGCACTGGAAAAGAAGGGGTACTCAGTCCCCCCAAATAGGGTGCACATTTCCTTTTTGAATCTCTGCATAACTCAAGGCAGTCCCTTTGTTCTATGCTAGTAATTACCTTGTTCATAACTAAAGGACAATCTGAAGGAAAACTAGGGTAAGAAATATGTGGACATGAGAGTCTTCTGTCTACTAACTTTGTTCAGGAGGACCCAAAAGGATAAATTTTGGTCCATTTTGGAAGGTCAGGAAGAAAATCCAGGTGTAGCAAATAAAATCTAAATTTCACCACGGCCTTCCATACCAACAAAGTGGTGAAAGTAAGGCCAGTTTCTAAATACAAACTAGAGTTTGAAATGCAATTAGGTGCTTGAAAGATAGCACAGAGAAATTTTAACTGTAAAGATTCAGTTTTGGAAGAGATGGAAACCGTATACAGCAGAAAAAAATTAATTTTTGCCTTGTAGACTTCCAGAGCAAAAGGTACAAATTGCCCTCAGGAATGATAAAAAAATTTCATGATCGCTGCTGGATGTACTTTGGTGGACTCAAGAAGACAGGAATAATGAAGCTTCCAATTATTAGAAGCAGCAAAATGAAGGCCTAAATACCTGTAGCTAGACACTTGCTCAATCAAATGCCCATCCAAGATCCCTGGGTCTGCTTTTTTCTGTGATGGCTATTTCTGGAAACACACTGTTTTGGATTTGATGTAGTTAATGGGAAGCAGATTATCATGGCAATAAGAAACTAACGCTTGGATAAAATGTCTTAATCCAACCTTTGAACGAGAAAGAATAGCAGCAGTGTCTGCATAAAGTAAAAGCAGAATAGGATGTACAGCCAGACTAAAAGGATGAAAGATAATAGCTTCTAATTTATTTGGAAGGTCATATAAATACAGATTAAATAAATCTGGTGCCAAAATACAACCCTGTTGGACTAGTTGGACGTCTTATTCTCATGGTAGTTGAAGTATATAAAGAGACAATCAGATGCAAATCGCTCAGTAATTCCCAACTGATCTAACTGGCTCCTGAGCCTTTGGACCAGACTTTGCATGCCTTGTTCAAGGGCAGATTCCTTTGATATTGGCATAAGAAATCATTTGAAAAAGTCTGTGCTGTGAATTATTAAATAAATTAGGCCATGATGGCCTTTGGAGACAGAAGCCTTCTCATGGAATTCTGGGGTTGCCAACCTCCAGGTGGGACCTGATCTTCAGAAAACAGAGATCAGATCCCCTGGAGGAAGTGACTGCTTTGGAGGATGGACTCTGTGGCATTATACCCAGCTGAGACCTCTCTCCTCTGAAACCCCACCTTCCCCAGGGTCCACCCCCAAATCCCCAGGAATCTCCCAACCTAGATTTGGTAACCCTACAGAGTTCTAGTCTATGTCTAAAACCCTCTTGTCCTGGATTTAGCTTTGTGCAGTTCTTCCTTCAGCTATAAACTAGAGGGGCTGAAAAAGGTTTAGTAGCTAAATATTTTTCCTCCATGTAAACACTTCAAGGATAGAATTTGTGCTTCAAGATGACTAGGATATGCACAGCACAGGAGCTTGTTTGCTCATAAATCCTAATCCTGCTGTGGAAGGGGAAGTTTCCACCTCAGATCTTTCAGAATTTTTAACATTATGAAACCGTAAATAGGAGATATAGAGTATTTAACTCTGAAACAAGAAGTTAATTAAGATGAGATGTTGCTTGGAAAACAAGCCTTTTGAATGTTTCCCCTTAGTTTATTTATGACCGTGATGGTCTGCTTTTTTACCTTAGTGAAGCCCTCAAGACAAAGACAGCTTACAAAACAGAATTCCTTACACAGAACGATAACGATTCAACAACAAGGCAAGTCACCATGTGTAAGCACAGCAGCATACAGCAATCACCTCAGCCTACGGGCCTTCATGAATCACTGCTCACTTTTTCACGAAAGCTCATACCCCTGCCACAGATTTTGTTAGCCTTTAAGGTGCTACTGGACTCTTGCTCTTTTCTACTGCTACAGACAAACAATGGCCTCCCATCTTGATCCACCTCAGCCTGTTGTTTTGAAGGCTTTTCAGAACAGCCAAGTTTTAATTGATGTCCTAAAAACTGAAAAGAGGGTAGGATCAACTAGCTTCCCTACAGAATGGGGATTTCACAGTTTTTTAAAATTTATTTACATTATTTATAGTCTCCCTTTCTCACTGGGACTCAAGGCGGATTACACAGAGCGAGTCAATACAATCAACAACATGGAGCATTCAATAAACGAAGCAATAGAATCAGGGTTACAGAACCAACCAGAAGTCTAAAAAACTAAACTGAAGCAAAGCGTAAGTATTAACATGACACATTAAATGATGCAAAATTATACAGTAGGATCCTACTGCAGCTGCTGGATGACCTTGGGTAAACCATAGTTGTCAGAGCTGTTCTTGAAAAAGAGCAGTATCTGTCAGAGCTCTCTCAGCCCCACCTACCTCACAGGGTGTCTGTTGTGGGATTGGAAGGGAAATGCTGTTGTAAGCCACTCTGAGACACCTTTGGGTAGTGAAGGGCGGGGTATAAATCCAATCTCTTCTTCTTCTTCTACATACAGCAAGCTATACACAGCGGTATAGACCACGGTCCCTAATCATTTATCCAAGTAAGTTTGTAAACCACTCTGTACAGTGCAGCCCTATGGCCTGAGTAGAAAAACCCTCTTGAATAATTCAGTTTTGCATAGAGTGCAGGAAGCCAGGAGAATGGGAGCCTTTCAGACCTCATGACAAAGGCCATCCCATAAGGTGGGGGGGGCATAATGGAGAAGGCACGTGTACAGGCAGTTGCTGATCTCCCCCATTTCCAGGGGGAAATGAGCAAAGCTATTGTGGAGGAACAC